CAGTGGTGGGTCACCATTTTGGCTGGGCGGTGGTGGTCTTTTTGGTGGCGATTGTGGCTGTCGGTGGGGATATTTCTGGTGGCAATTTTTCGGTGGTTGAGGTCGTGATTTTGGCTGTAGCGGTGGGGTTTCTGGCGGCGATTTTGGTGGTGGTTCAGTGGTAGTTGGTGCTGTGGTTCAGTGGTAGTTGGTGGTGCTGGACTGGTGTGGTGGTGGACTGGTGGTGCAGTGGCGAAAAGGACCATTTCCCTTGTTTTGCAAATTTTCCCTTTTTTTGCTTGAAAATGGCCAAAACAATGTTTTTATCTTTTTGTGTTTTGTGCACAAATTTTTTATCGTTTTCAAAAACACGTTTTCAAAAATAGGAAAGAGAACGCGTTTTCATTGTTTTGGAAAACCGAAAACAGAAAACGACCCAAAATGGCCAAAGAGAACGGCCCCTTAACGTCTTACATTATGTTTAAAACTTATTTCTTCTTTTTCTTTTTCAACAGCTTGGGAAAGCTAGTATTTCCATGTGAACGGGTTGATGCTCGGTGGGGCAAGCTAGAGTGTGAGCAGCGTGAATGTGATCTACTAGGGACTTCGACCAATTTTGGGAAGGGAACAGGATGAAGCTAGTACTTGAGAATCGCGAGCAAAGAAAATTACGTATAACATAGTAGATGTATACAAACCACTGCAGAAGAGGATTTCTTAGAGTAACAAGCTCAACTTTCTCTTAATAGAAATGTGTCGAAACCAGTAGCATCCTCTAATAACATTGGTTTTCCATTGATATTTCAGGTCGTGTAAGGTGTTATTCGTTGCAATCATCCTCCTAAGTGTAAGACTCTTTTTATTTTATTTATTTATTTATTTTTGGTGGGGGTTTCCTATGGGAAAGCCTCATGGCTTTTAAGTAAATCTATTATAGACGAGCTAATTGTTGATTGGGCTCTTCTGCATGATCAATCTTAAATTGCAAACTTTTACTTGTATCTAATAATGAATATTTCTACAAATTTGCCAACATTTATTTTCCTTTCACTGTTATCATTTTGAAATCGGGAAAAAATAGTTTGTTAATATTTCTTGCGATGCTTTCAATACGTTCAAAGAGAGTTTTAATTCAATGCAATATAGTTTGTCTACTAACTCAAGCTAGCGAATAATAGAGTAGCAAATAGGCAGTTCTTCTTGTCTGTCAAGTGTTTTGTCGACCATGATAAGAATCGCTAATATAAAGTAACTCGAGGTTATGATTGGACTAAAAGTCCTCGTTCAAGATAGGTCGCCAAATTGCAATAAGAATTGTGCCTTTTGAAGGGTCAGTCTCGTAGATTGACTAGATTATGGCGAGTTAGAAAGACTGATCAAATCAAGGGAAGACGAGAGAAAAATGTGATCAAAATGACCCATTAATAAAGTGAGGCTTTTCCACTCCCCACCGACTCATTGGTCTATTCAGAAGGCTGATTAAGCATATGGATTTTAGTAAAATTTTATGTAGTCATATTTTTAGTTTCGTGCTTACTAGATACTATATTTTTCTTTTTGGGTAATTAGCACATAACGTTTTCACCTTTCATTGTTATTATGAAAAACGTCTATACCTTTCATTTTTTAACCTTTTCACTTTTCATTGAGTAAAATGTCTTTCACATATTTTCTCAATGAAAAATTATGAAATGACAAATATATCATTCTATTTAAATAAAGCAAAAGAAAAAGAAAAAAAATTAATTACAACCATAGTCCGATTTTTTTTAAAAAAACGTAACGAGTTCCAAATAAATTATTAAATTTTCTCAATGAAAAATTATGAAATGGCGTATATACTCATCTCTTTAAATAAAACAAAAAGAAAAAAAATGCAAACGAGTTCCTAATAAAATAAAATTAAAAGAATTTTTTTTTAAAGTGCAAACGAATCCCAATTAAATTTATTTAAAAAATTAAAAAATACAAACGAGTTGCTAATAAATTGTTAAAGAATTAGAAATTAAAAAATATTTTTTTAATTTAAATAGGGTGTATATTCATTATTTCACAGTTTTTTATTAAAAAATGGATGAAATGATGGTTTGCACAATCAAATGTGTAATTAATGGTGAAAATGTCAAAAAGAAAAGAAATGTAGGGATATTTTTCACAATAACAATAAAAGATAAGGACATTATGTGCTAATTACTTTTTAAAATAATTTGTTTGTGACTTATTTGCTCATTTAAAAAAAAAAAAAAATTGAGACTCTGATTGTGATTAGTTTTTTTTGTTCTTTTATTTAAAGAGAGCGGTATATTCGTCATTTCATAATTTTTAATTGAGAAAATAGGTTAAAAAGACCTTTTGCGTAATGATATGTGGAAATAAGGATGAAAATGTCAAAAAAGAAAGGTGGTGATGCTGTTCACAATATCAATAAAATGTGAGGAATAATTACCTTTTTTTTTTTTGCCATGACTTAGCCTCATTATTAGTCTATTGTGGTGGCTTGACTTCATTATCCTCAAATTTTGAGTTATTGGACAACGAAACTTACACTTTGTTCGTCGAGCTATTTGGTGTAACTTAAATAAAAATGTTGAAATAATTATTTAATTTTTCATTTTCAGTTTTTTATCACTTAAATAAAAATGTCGAAATAGAATTCAATTTGAACATATCATGGGATTTTTTTTTAAATAAATGCACCATACTTTAATTTTATCGAAGGCCCTCTAACTTTTATTTATTGTCAAAATTCTCTCTCAGCTTTTCTTCATTGTATTTTTATCCTCAACATTCTGTTAATTAACATACATTGTCTTTGATTTGGTTTTCAGCAAACTATTTAGTCATACTTTTGTATTTATGACTTTTTTGCTTATTTTAAAAATAAATAAGGTTTTTTTACGTATAGTTTTTTTGGACAGAAACACCATCAATGGTCAACGACGTGCTAGTTAATGAATGAGTAAGAATAATCATATGATAAAAAAAATTACGATATGAATATAACAATAAATAAAATTAATTTTTTTAATACAATTAAAATTTAGCTCCTATTTGGTAAGAATAAATTTAGATTTTAATCCAAGTCAACGCCAATAATTAATTATAATCACACATTTATAATTTTTCGACCACATACTTCATAAATTTTTGTTTTAATATACTAAAAAATTGATTTTAATCCTCACCAAACATTTGCATAATGCACTTGTAAATTGTAGCATCCAATATCCACAATTTTTATTTGTTATACCACATTTTAATTGCAGTTAAGTTTTTCAATCTTTACTCGTTGTAGCAATTATTTTTCTAACTATTTTCGCCAAATTCTTATCTTCAACTTACCACTAATTAATACGTTTCCTCCTTGATGATGATTTTTGTCAAAATATTCTATTTTTATGCTTTGAAATAAGGAGAAATATTTTTTCCGCACTTTATTTATTTATTTTTTAAAAATATGATGAAAAATAAGTTCTTTTACGCTATAGCAACGGACTTTTTGGACATAAACTGTTGTCAAATAAAAAAATGTGTTTACTAATAAAAAGTTTGAGGATAAGAATCTCATGAAAAATAGTTAGTTAGAAATATAAGGAGCATAGTTTAAGAGCTTCAGGTGCAATAAGGCAGAAATAGGCACGTAAAAGTCCAAAATTACCCCCATCTAAATCCAAAAATTCTCAGTCACGGACTAGGGTTTTGGGTCTGCCGTCTATAAATATTATAATTTTGATGTTCGTGCAAAACACAAATTTATTCTGCAATTACGGTGCTCTTCCTACAGTCGGCTTTTCTTTTGCGCTGAAAGAGGAAGATGGGGCACTCTAACATCTGGAACTCTCACCCCAAGACCTACGGGCCTGGTTCTCGCACATGGTAATCCCATCGAAGTTTCATTTTTTTTTTGAGAGAATGTTTTACCGTTTTGATTTAATTGAATTTACCTAATATAATAATCAAGGATTTAAGGGAGTTTTAATGTGTCGTTTACTTTGATCCGTGGAATAACGTTTTTTTGAGATTGGTATGATATTTGGATAGATATATCTATTGATAATCTTGGTCTGCGTTTATTGTTAATTAGCCCGCAGTCTCGTGTATTCTTTGATTAATTGTTCTTTAGTTCTTATTTTGAAGTTAGAATCTACCTCTACCACAAGAAGGGAAACAAGTAAAATAAGGATATCAATTGTAACTGGGAATTTGCCTTAGGCTGTGTATCTTAGATTTATAGATCGAATGGTGGTCGAGTTCGTTTGGTAATTCTTAATAATTTTCTCATGTGATTTTGCTGTAAAGAATGCTATTTTACTCTATTTTTGGTACATGTCATACTGACATTGAAGACTTGTTTAAAATGCAAATCTTAACAAACATTTCACAAATTATGCACACTTAGAGTTGAATTCGAGAATATTCAGCAGATATCATGAGAGTATGCTTAGTACTTATAAGCAGGCTTTTTTGACTAATATCAGCTCTTACGTTGTTTGAAGTAGTTTCAAGATAAAGACAGATCTGCCAAATTTCCTGTACGACAGGAAATATTTGTTGTTAGAATACATTGTTGTAACACTTATAACAAGTGTTGTTGCACCTACTTTGGTATGTTATTTGGACTTGATGTCCCTATGTTTATGCATTTAGCTTAATATTTACCTGATGCATATGATGTTATGACAGTCGTGTATGCGGGAACCCCCATGGAATAATTAGGAAGTATGGGCTCATGTGCTGCAGACAGTGCTTCAGGAGCAATGCCAAGGAAATTGGCTTTATCAAGGTAATTACCTGAGTTGTCTAACAATATTATCAATTATTCATTCGTATATTTTAGATTTTGAACTATGTTTTCAGTTTTCAGCGAGAATATGTATTGTGTGCATGTGTTTTCTCTGCTGATCTTCATCTGTATAAAGCTTTTTAAGCTGATGAATATGCTTATTTATTTACTTGGGCTATCTTGTTTAAAATGATGCAAATATTTGTTATTATTTTCATTTTGATCATTCTTCATTGTGGTGACAATTTCCCATGCATTGGTGTTTTTGCAGTATCGTTAAATCTGGGAATTTCTGAATTTCTGCCAGTGGAAGGATGGCTTTCCTTGGTGGGATGGGATCTCTTCAGGCATCCTTTTTTATTTATCTTCTTTTCTTTAAAAAGGGTTGTAATAGGGAGATTATTCTAGTTTGAGATAGAACTCAATTTGATACTTCGACTTGCTTAATCTTTTTGATTTGATGAATCTAGAAATTGTTTATGCAGCAGTTCTGTTCAATGCACTATTTGCTTTTGTGGAGATTGCTTTGAGTTTTACCTTTCTACATTTAAACACCCATATGCAGGGGCTTGTGCACACAAGACACACACTACACTACACAACACAGCACAAGGCTTTTCTATGAAGGGGAAGCTAGTTGAAGATAAATGTGAAAATATTTTCGTAGATAAACAAATTTAATGAGCTTTCAGATCTCCCTCGAAGATTTAAGAACATATATTTTTGAAATTAACAAAATAGAAGTCTGTGTGACAGGATTCTTCGTAATTAGCACGTCCAAGGATTTAATAATTTACATTCATAGAACTAAAATTTTCAGACATGACAGAATCTAGTGACGAAAACAGATAAT